CCCCCCCGAATGTCTGTTTTAATTGTCCAATTGCCACAATCTAGCAAAAGTTTTGAACGTTTTCCTTGCTCTTGCTTTGCCCTCCCTCCCTTATCTTGATTTCTGTTCTACTTTCTGATGTGGTCTTCCTTCCTAGTTGGTCTCTGACACCAGTACTTTCACAGTGCAACAGCTCCTTACCTTTTAGCATGAGGAATGTCCAGGCATAGAACATACAGGTTTGGCATCACAGGTTAAGGGCTGAAGAACCAAAAAATCAAATTGTATCACTAAAGGAGATAATTCTCTCTTGCTGAGTCCTCAATACTTCATGCCTCTTTTCTGTCTTACTCTTTGATTTTAGTCTAGGGGTGGCCAGTCTGTCCTTGACTCCTCAAGAAGTTTGTTCTAGTTACTTACGTTTTTTTCTTCAACCCAGATAGTAATTAGCATCATTCCTTCTTTCTCTGAAAGCTTTTAGGCAGGATGACTCCTTAACCCTTGTTTTGAGTTTTTAAATCTAAGTTGTAAATTACTACAATCCTAATGACCTCTCTTAGCTAACAACATTTTGTAACTTTTTTTATTTTTTTCCTTTTCTGTTTTATCTCCTTTGAGATAGCTACTGCCTACTTCCTATCTTTTTGTTTCTTTACCCATAACTTAACTTCCCAGTAACTAACTGGTCTCTGGACAGGAACTTCTATTTACATTTTTATACGTAAACATTACCATTTAAAAGGGATATCCAGACATGGACTTCTACATTTTTATATAGTTCAGGTAGTTCTAGAATCCTTGCTTGTTCTCCCAAGGATCAGAGATTGCCTTGTTTATAATGGTCAAGTCACAGACTTACTCTGTCCTTTTCCTTTTTTCTGTTTCTTGCCAGGATCATTTCTAGCAACAGGTCACATATTGTCAAACTACCTCTCAGCAGGGTAAGTGACCTTTCTCCGTCTAAACGCTTTAAATTTAAGGGGGCTTAGGGAGGGACTCCAAACCTGCTAGCCACACTGATTCTAGGCCCATTTGTTGGGCTCTGACTATCATAACCTGTGAACTTTAGCATATTTCTGGGGTCAGCACAAGTCTTAGTTACTTTCTGTTGTATCCTTTCCCTCCCTGATCTCTGTTTCTGTTCTGTTTTCCTGACCCCACCCCACCCTGGGCAGCAGCTGAAGTTCATGCACACCTCACACCAGTTCCTCCTGCTGAGCAGTCCTCCTGCCAAGGAGGCTCGGTTCCGGACCGCCAAGAAGCTCTATGGCAGCACCTTTGCCTTCCAGTGAGAGGGGTGAAAATGGGGGTGCTGGTGGGAATGGAATGACAGTTAATAGAAAGGGCTGGAAGGACAACAAGTGCCCTTGATACATAAATGTCTATCAGTTAGTCAATAAATATTTATTTACTGCTATTGTAGATGCTATAGAAGAAAAATTTACATTAAATAATATTCTCAGACTGCTTAAGATGTAGTTGAGGAGAGAGATTTACATTAAAAAGATATATAGAAGCAAATGATTGGAAGTGGCACGCTGAAAAACTGGTTTGATGAAAAAAAGCCAGTAATTTTTGCCTGGTTGTTGGATAAGACAGAGAAGAAAAAAAATACTAAAAGTAACTTGGAGTAGTGATGCCCCTTTTCTTTTTCTTTTTTAATTTTATTATTTTTTGTGAGTGTACCATCAAATTGGATCTGACTGGTACAGGAGGAGATTGCCCCCCTCCAGCAGAGCATCTGGTGGATTCAAACCGTGTACCTCTGGGATTGCAGTGCAGCTTCTTGCCAATAGGCCACCAGAGCTCCCTTGATGCCCCTTTTCTTAAAATAAAACATGAACTCAATTCTAGAAACCATAGTTGGAGCAATAATAAATTTATTGAGTTTGGAATTGGTTTATAGAATTGCAAGTATTAGGAGAACAGGCAAAAGAAAATACCGACCCAGCAGTTGAAGATTTAAGTTGGTACTCATTTGAAGCACAATGAATTATATTCACTAGATGAATACTAGACAGGAGAATGTAGGTGTTAATCATACATACTGCATGCTTGCAACTCTGTCCATATGCATGTCCCTTACAAAGTGTATTTGTCTCTAACTTGTCTTTGTGTGGGTGGGAATGAGTCATGGAAGCTGTTTCTGGGAACCTTATATACTGTGAGCAGACAGACATGTATTCTATCCTGCCTTACAGTGGGTCCCACATTGAGAACTGGCATTCAATCCTGCGTAATGGGCTGGTCAATGCATCCTACACCAAACTACAGGTGAGGTTGTGCTCTATTCCTTATCCTGTCCAGTCTCCTTCCTGACTCCCTCAGTTTTGGGGAAGGCTGCTCTAGAGTCTTTAGGTGTTTTTGTGTTACTATATTCAAATCTAGCTTGCCTTAGCAGTTTCCCTTGAGGGATGTTGGAACTGTATGTTTAGAAAGACTGTGACTGTTGTGTATATGACCAGACATGTTTTTTAAGGGGAATGGGATTATAACAATAAATTGGCAGGATAATGGAATTGCTGATTGCTTCTACTGTGCTAACTCATTGTCACAGTTTTCAGATTTATATAATTATTTATTGAGAGAGTTCACTCAATAAATAATTATGTAAGAGTTGGAGATTCTGGGGAGACTAATATTGTTCCTTTGTCCGAGAAACTCCAGGAACTAGTTATTACCCTCCTTCTGGCTCCCTGTTCTATAGTTCCTGTCTTAATTTTCATATGTTCCAAGGATATGATCATAAATTCTGAGGTAGACTTTATGCTTCTGCTACTCCCAATTCCCCAAGGAATCAAAGTTTGGTATTTCATAAGCAAAAGGGATTAACATGTATCCAGTCTTAGCCAATCACTTTTCAAGAGTAGGTGCATAGACTATCTGAATGAGTCAGAAGGTAGACAGAGGGCTGGATAAGCCTTATGGCTGCCTACTTTATAGCCATGGGATGGCCCAGGCTCATATTGCTCATCCTGGTGTTTCCCTGCAAGCTGCATGGAGCAGCCTATGGCAAAGGCATCTACCTGAGCCCCATCTCCAGTATTTCCTTTGGATACTCAGGTAAGAAATATTCTTTGGCCACTTTGACTTTTATTGCATTAATTCCACTTTGTAAACATATGATATGTACTGTTCTCCTCCTCCACCATCTCATGAATATTTGGCTTTTGTCAGCTCTGTCCTCAGTCATGGGTACATTGTCTGTCTCTCTATTTATTAGATCCCTTACAAGATGAGACCAGGTATCTCCTTTTTAGGGAATTCTCTTCTTCCTGGGGATAATTTTCTTTATTGTAGGGGCTTGGCCCTTGGAATGCACTATAGAGTAACTGGGTCATGAAACTAGGCTTTTTCCCCACACCATAGTTTTTTTTATATGACAACAGCCTATTGTTACAGATTCTGCATGTGTGCACACGCTCATTGCATGTTAACTTATATTTATGTGAATACTGAAGGCTTGCATTCCTTCTTTTGACTTCTGTCTCTTGAGACATTATTGTTCTTCCTGTCAGCCATCCTTTTAAAATTTAAACTGTCTATAATCATACACTATTTTATTAGTTGCATTGAATGTAAGAGAAAGCACTTCAGTTGAAAAGTAAGAAATTAGCCACACTCAGATTCAAGTGAGAAAAAAGTTCAGCTGTGTCCAGTTCAGAAAAGACATGTTAAAGTTCTATCACCATTCTAGGCTTAAAGTCTTAATTTCCTTCTGAGTTAGGTTCTTATTCTATATAGTTTATTAGGACTATCCACCATAAGAAGAAAATTGTGCTAGATTTTTTCTTTATTGTTATTTCATATTCTCCAGTGATAGAAATTGTTTTAAAGATAAGAAAACTCTCAGAACTAAAAATAATCTCAATTTATCCTTTTAATTCTTCTTTCCATTAGTCTTTGTATCCTTTCTGCCTTTTGAACTTTATCCTATACAAGTGGGTCTTGTTGTTGTTGTTTAATGCCGTCGAGTCGTAGACGACTCATAGCAACCCTACGAACGAACAGCCTGAGCACTGTTCGTACATAGAGTTTCCAGAGGCAAGCCATTTTGGAAGTGGATGCCGCTCCTGCTTCCAGGCTTGATTTAGTTGGGAAGCTCCAGCCAACACTGTCCACCATGGGTGCCCATTACCACGATTGGCACATCACTGTCACAGGCTTCAGCATCACAGCAACCACGGGTTACCTCTGTATAGCAACACACAGACCAGTGCTATACCACCTAGAAGAAATGTTTGACAGGAAGACAATTTGAACCTGGCCAAGGGCCACAGATGACAATCACCCACCTTCGGCTTGGTAGCACAGCTTCCTTCCACTAGGCTCTCTCTTGGTCGTCGTCATACAAGTGGGTCTTAGACCAATTGTATAAGGAATAGATTATTCCAGTCTTACACAAAATCTTCCAGAGAGCAGAAAAATGTGATTCTAAAATAAAGTTCATTCAATTTTACTAAAATTAAAAGCATCTGTTCATCAACTTAAAGTGAAAAGACAAACTATACAAACCAGGAGAAAACATTTGTAACAATTGTGATTATATATAAGACAATCACAAAATAAATTTTTTATGTTTGCCTTAGAATTCTTAAACATTGTTTAAAGAGACAACTCAGTAGAAAATAGCTAGTGAAATGAATAGACATTTCACTGAAGATGACAGTGGCCAATAAAATATAAAAAGCCACTTAGCTCACGGGGCGGGAGGCTTCCAGGAGCGGCCTCGGCCTCGCTGCCTCTGCAGGCCTGGGGGCTGGGCCTCCCCTGCCCGCAGGCCCAGGGCCGCCCACCGCCGAGTAAAAAAAAAAAGCCACTTAACTGCTATTAATCAGGTAAGTAAAATTAAGACCAAAATTAATTATCATATGTATTGGTAAACTATGAAGAAATTTAGCAATACATCTGATTCTTCCAAATATTATACATGAATATTGTTGTTATGTACTGTTGAGTTGGAGCCAACCCATAGCTAGCCTTCAGCAAGTTTTCAGAGATGGTGAATCATATGGGAGGAGATTGCCCATCCTTCTCCCACAGAGAAGCTCCTTACTACTAGGCCACCAGAGCTCCTATACATGAATAGTACCTCTTTTGTTACCTCTTGTTTAAATTGATATAAATTAGTACAACCCCTTTGAAAAACAATATGGGCTGTTTTTTGTTAGCTTGAATATTATTACATCTTTGACCCAACAGTTTCATTCCTGTATAAGTGTACCAAAAAATAGATGTATGAATCTTGAAAACAAAACTAAGAGGAGGGAAAAACACCAAATAATTTTTTATGACTATAAACTTTGGAAACAGCTTAAATGCTCATAATCAAGAATATGTTCTCTCAATGGATTTTTATTTGACAAAGAAAACGAATAAATACAAGCTATGTGCAATAACATGAAAGAAATGTTAGTAATATGTTGAATTAAAACACTAACTTCCAGAAGATCATAGACTGTATTGTGCCCCTTTTTTTGTTCTTGTTCAAAAGCACACAGAATTAAACTTTGTATATTCATGTACGTATGCATATTTGTGTATGTGCCTATGGCCGTTTTGGGTGGTGCAGTGATAAAGTACTTAGCTACTAATTGAAAAGTAAGTGGTTTGAGATCACCCATAGGTTTCTAGGAAGAAGGGCTTGGTGCGATAAGAGACACTTACTTAGACAGTGAAGGGAAAGAATATCCAATAAGGGGACACTTAGATGTTGTAGTATTATAACTAATATTATAAACCAAAATGTAAATGGATGAAAAATCATTATGTTTTATAAGCTTTCACTCAAGTCACAATTTAAAAAAACACACTGGGCGGGGAAGAGTAGATTACGTACTTCTGAAAAATCAGCCATTGAAAACCTATGATGCAGTTGTACTCTGAAACGGTTGGAATCTACTCAACTGCATTCGGTTATTGTTCTTTGCTTTTTTCACTATACACATGCACAAACATGCCCAATAAAGGAATGATAAGCACATTTTGGATGCTATTGTTGTTATGTACTGTCCATTTGGAACCGACTCATAGCTGACCCTCCTGTGGGTTTTTTAGAGTTTGTAAATCGCACATGGGGAGACTGCTCTTCTTTCTTCCTGTCAGCTGGTGAATTCAAACCACTGTCTTTGGCTTAGCAGTGCAATGCCTTATCAATACGCCATTAGAGCTCCCTATGTTTTAGGATAGTGATTGTCTTTTGAGTGGAGGCAGGTAGTTAGGGTAGGAACAAATTAAGTAATTACATAAATCAGTCACAGGAGGTGTTTATAGCCCTTGGGTTACTTCGAGTGGGTCTGTAGGTAATTTTTGGCCTAGGAAGTGAAAATGTATCATAAAATACATTAATCTTACTGTATGTACACTAAAGTACATACGGTAAGATTAATCCACACAGCTTAAATGACTAATAAATATTAACAAAATGATTGAATGCATGAATCTTCTGTGTTCCTATGGTAAAAGTGGATTGGAGATGGAGGTGGTCTGGGGTTTTGTTTGTTTTTTAATTTATTTGTCAGATTCTTCAGTTTCTATTTTGTCCCAGCTTTACTATCCCTCTGAATAAGCTAATTTTTCTTTCAGCACTGTTAGTATTGTGGAGCCCACAATATTCTTCCCACTTACTTTCTCCTTATTTCCTTTTCCCCTCTTCCACTCATCTAACTGGCCCTTTTTACAACTAGGGCCCCACAACCTTTGGTCATCAGGTGGAGACAGGAATCTCTATTGATTTCTTTTCTTTCTTTATCACTTCATGGTTTACTTACATATATCCTTTGATACTGCCCTTTCTTTTCTTCCAAAGGGCTGATTATGTTAGCTAGAAAATGTCATGGATTTTACTACTGGAGTTAATTTGTTGTTATGTGCCGTCGAGTTGCTTGCGACTCATAG